TTTGGGTAAAAATGCATGTTGAATAGGAGAGAATGAGATAAGCGTTCATGAGATAGTCTATAAATTGGGTCTTAAATATTTAAGCTATTGCCGGTGTTCGATTAGCACCACGATAGATGTGGGTATGAGAATGGTTAACGCTTTTAAAGACAGGTGCAACGCCGGAGCAATGTCCTGGAGAAAGCCTATAACCCAATCAGATTAGGCGTGACAGACAGTGGTCCATCTCGATCATTACTGGAATGCTTTCGCATTTAATTGCACGACATGGACAAAGGAGTGTACACGGGAATTAGTCAGTCGAAATTGAGGATTTTGGTTAGTAATTCCTAAAGTCTCGTTTCGAAAATCAACGGACTCATGGCTCTAGTACGACAGTAAATCCCTTAAGTCGATTTCACTAGATCAGGACCGATGCTGTTGTCCAGGGAAGCCATACGTCGGTTATTGGCCTGTCGGACTACAAGGCTCTAAATAGACAGACAAGGAAGAAAAATAAAAAGTGAAGGCCTTCGGGGTAACCGGGTCATCAGTACACGTCGAAATATTTCGTTATCAACAAGATGCGTCCCTCAGACAAGGAAGGACTGTGAACCCGGAAATTACCGGTAGGCTGAAAAAAGCCCAACAATATATTCCACCATGTTGAATGTCGACTGAAAGACAAGAATCCATTCGCTGTAGTGAAGGATGGCAGTGGTATATAAAAAGTTGAAAACGACGAGGAAACAGGGTACTTGAATCTGTTCTTTGTCTCGACAGTCACTAAGAAATCCCAGTCTTAGAATCACTGCAATGCTGTTGTAATTGCCGATCCCCGCGCCTGAGTCCATACACTTCCTGGCGCCTGTCGTGGATAGAAAGCTATTGAATCTTAGGGTAGCAAAGTCGTCGGATCCGGACAATAAACCGGTCAAATTCCTAAAAGAATTAGTGTGAACTTTCCAAACGACCAGTGCACATCTTTCATCTGTCATTTGGATTTGGGCGGCTACTATCCGAATGGAAGACAGCAAATATTTACCCAATGTAAAAGGGTGGATTAGAACACACGCTACCAATTATCATTCCGCAGTTTCACCCGTACCTGCTGTAAAATAATGGGCCTCATACTCAGGGAATTCAGTATAATTCAGTATATATGGGGGATATGGGCTTAGCCTTGGAAGACCCTATCTACAGACAGACCTAGGAAAAAAGGATGCACATATTTACATAACAGTTATACCAGTCATTGATATCGACTAAATATTTGACCATTCAGCCTGAATTTATGAAGTCTTTTTTGAAGCTCTTAATGTTTTCTGCTAATACATCGGAGTTTGACTATTTGTTCCATCCTTCAACCAGCCGATGTAGGAAGAACTTTGTCCGCATTTCAGGTTTGACATTGTTAATCTTCACTTTTTATTAGTGGCCTCGAAGATTGGTAGTTCGCGCCAACCGAAGAGCACAGTCTTACCCTCTGACGACAAGATTGAATTACCTGGAAAAAAAACGCTTGCTCTGAGTGCTTTAGCAAAGATATCGGCAGAATTGCCCATGCCTTTCCGGTGTGGTTTATTTGGTAAGGACAATAGGCAAAGCCTTTGAAAACCCTATTGATTACATGTCAGCTCGTTAGACATAACTGTACACGAACAAAAAATATTCACTATTATAACGGTACTCGGTTCGTTTGAGTAGCATCGTCTCAGAGAAAATATTTGTGGGTACCAGGGGTATTAGTTCAGATTCAGACCGTCGAGGGAAAACAGGGGACACAAATAATCATCCAAGCGTTTCTTGAAGAGTTGCAGAGACGTAGCCCCTACGACTGACTGAGGGAGATCGCTCCATTTCTCCACTACCCTCTGCGTGAAAAATTCAGAACGAAGATTCAGCCGGGACATTGTTGTCCGCAACTTCATTGAGTGACCACGAGGATTGGGTGAAAGGTGCAACTGAAACATGTCCTCAAATTTAAGTCCATACTCAAGGCCATGTATTATCGTGTAGACGAGGATAAGATCACCTCTTTGCTGCCTGTAATACAGAGGGAATAAATTAAGGCAATTTGACTATGTTCTCCAATCTAGGGACAATGGTTTTGCTCTTTACACAGTATATTTCGATTTCCCTAAGGCTTTTGACCGTGTTGACCATGCTCTTCTCCTCTTGAAACTGTCCTCTTTCGGAATAGGTGGCAAACTTTTGAATTTTATATCCTCTTACCTGGTCACACT